CGCCATACCAAATTTACACCCACTTAACCTTCTTCCCGCTCAGCCTGTTCTTCATCACTGCGACAGTCAGGCCCTCCGGCAAGGGCGGGGGCGTGTATTTCCCGCCGTCCTCGGTGGTCGTCGTCTTCATGTTTAGCGTCTGGGCGATCGACGGCGTGAACGGCGCAGGGAGCGGGTTTTCCGAGCCACCGTCGTCCGCTGCCTTCTTCTTCCCCTTCCCCTTTGGGGTTGGAACAGGTTCGACGGAGACGTCTGGCGCCGGTAGTATGGAAGACGCGTCGGGCGTAGCGGCCCTCAGCATCGTCACCGACCCACCCTCACCCTCGGGGCCCAAGGATGTCCCCGCGACAGCTGAGGTCTCATCCTCCTTTGACAGCTTGTCCTTCCGAAGAGATACCGGGTGTGTTGACGGCGAGTGCAGGGAAACGAACCAGCGCAACATGCCCTTTTGCACGCCCAGGTCCCCTGAATCGATATAGACGAGCGTCAAAATGCGAAACTTCATCACACAGCGAGAAGACTTGCCGACAGGAAGGATGTCCGGCCGCCGCAGCGAGAACATGGCGAACATGTCGACTGTGGCACGGGTGAGCGACAGCTCCGATGAGTGTCGGTTCGAACATACCGGTCCACTACGATATGAAGGGACACTTCGTAAGAGACCGGTGATCACTTCGTGGATAGCACGACACTCACTCTTCCGATGCCCCGCACTTCTATCAACATCTTGTACAGCTCCTCGTCATCGGCCAGAAGCAACTTCCTCGTCGACAAGCGGCCGTCCGCAAAGCGTCCAGCAAGGTCTAGGACTGCCAAATGCGTTCATCGTCGGTCCTCGCCACTCTATCCTGAGCAAATGCACTAACCATACTCCGCCTTCCGACCGCTAAGTCCGGCGCTGCGCAAAGTCGCTATATCCTTGGTGATAACTTGATGTGCGGATGGGAAGAAGTTAGACCTTCCGAGTCATGCAAGGATCAGCGCCTGGCTAGGTTATCCCGAGACGATGGGCCTACTTGGAATCCGCAAGACTCTCCGGAAGAGATGGGTCAAATAGGCGCACGAATTTATGTGTTATAGATGCCGCGGCTTTCCATGATATCTGTTGGCCCCTGGCTCGTGCACCAACTGTCAGTCTTAGCAAGTAGGTACACTCCGGGTGATGGTCTCACAAGATGGAGTGCGCAAGCGTTCTGTCATATCGCACCCTGCTCAGCGTAGATCTATGTCAGGAAGACACGTGCATACCGGAAGGGATCGACGCGTTCGAGATGCTCAAACGGTCTGCACTTGACTCTTCGAAACACATCATCGAAGCGCGGATCCACGCGAACGAGGTGCCGCTTTGCCTCTTCAAAGGAGAAGGTGAGCACGGCTGGAACTAGCTCTTCGCCCTCCGCGTTGGGAATTGGGGTGGGCACGGCGGTATTGGGCGCTGCCGGTGACGTCTTTACGCTTGAGGCAGTGGGTACTGCAGCTTTCGTGGTCTTCGCCTTCGTAACACGGGGCTTCTTCTGAGCGGGTTCTGCTGCTGCGTCGGGGCTCTTCCGAGTCCTCTTCCTGCTTGAATCAGCGGCCTTCGTTTGGGCTGCGGCGGTGGTCTGTTGCGTAGCCTCCGGCGTAGCACCAGTGCTTCGCGTTGCTGACCTTGTCAAAGCCATGCTGAATGTCCTGGATGTTGCTGGGCGCGTCAAATGTCGAGCGACGACGTGTGTAAGGGCGAACTGCATATACCGATTGGCGTCGACGACGGTAGTTTATCAACAAGCCAACTCTCGAGGCCGCTGGGCAGGATGACTGTGCGGGGACGGAGCCGTTCCCAGCTGGGAGAGCGTGGGAGGCGCGCTAGCGGGGGACGCGACCGGCGCGGGTGGCGCGTAATTACGCGTTGCGCGCCTCGTCACGTGCCAATGCGCGAACGCGCCACGGTTGTGCCTGGCTCTTCCAAAGGGGCCTCTCAAGGTCTCCCCGCACCCGCAGCTCCCCTCTCACCTCGGCAGCCGATCGCATGACGTCAGAACAGGACTCGTTCGTGCTTTCCTCCCTCCTCGACTTTAGCGGCTTGCCAGCTTCCTCCGCCGTCTTCATCCCACTCTCCACGACAGCTCAGACCATGTCTCACCCTAGCCAGCACTCGCAGCTCGGCGAAAGCGGCCTCTTTTGGCGCTCGTCCACATCGCTCGCCCATGCTTTTCGCGTCTCTCTGTCCTCGACCGCACTGGCTTCAATGAACGACCCGCGCTCCGTTCTCGTTTTCCGCCCTCTGGCGTCTACATATCGGCCCTGCCGCAGTGCTCGCTCTCGCTGTCCCTCCCTTCTCGACCCTCTCCCCGCCGTTTCCCGTCCTCCTACACGCCTGGCATATCCCCAAAGTGCATATATCGACGCCGCCGACGTACCCCGTGCACGTAGGCACCCAAATACCCGCCACAAACGCGCATATACGTCCGAAAGTGTGCATTACTTCCATTTTGCCAGTCTACTCTACTCACCTCGTCTGCAGTCTACAGACAGTCTCTCGCGACGAGATACGATCGTCCCGCGTGCGCCCCCTCGCGGGACCCTGTCAGCGCGGACGCGGAACCCTCTACGCACACATGGGCACCCTTTGCGTGTCTGGCAATCGCCTCGCGCGCTCTGTATGAGCGGAACAAGATGCGCATTTAGCAGAAAACGCGTATCGTACTCGAACGGTACGTTCCACACACCCCGCGTCGCGTTTTATACGCTCACAGAACCACAGCCAATCACCTCCATCAGTTTGCGCGGCCCTGCGCGCAGAATTGGGAAATTTCGTCGTGGACCCCACCGTCGAATTCCCGCATGCTTCGTTCAATTCCCAATAGAACCTCTTCGTATCGCTGATCCTGTCTCTCCATAGGTGCCCCTCATGGATCGCCCACGTTTCAAAGCCCCCGTGCCAGCGGGGCGGACACTGTCGACGATGAGCAAACACGCTTGCCCAGCGAGGCGTTAGGCGCCCACGCGCCGCCTCGAGCTCGAATGTCAAAGGTCGCAGAAACGTCAAGTTACGGTGTGTACACATACCTCTCGCTCAGCGCATCCCTGTGCGCTTGGAATCAGCTCGAACGGTGACATTCCGTAGCCTCGACGGGTCGATTGTTTTCGACGATGGCTTCACTGCCTTTTCCTTCGCCCCCTTCGCTATCTTTCACGAAACCCGCTCATATCATTTGTACAGCTTCTATTCTATGCAGCTCAACATATAGTCTTGTATTCGAAGACGCTGTCGCCGCGTGGAAGACATTACGCTCGATACGGACTGCGCTCGCCCGCCACCAGAATAGGCGCCCAAATCATGGACGTCTCGGTTGCAGGTGCGGCTCGTTGCTCACATTTCGACTTCCTCTAACACGAATTTTAGCGGCACTTACAGGTACATTCAGTGCAGTACACGGGATCTTCAACGTCTGACGCCGCGACACTCGTCCGAACGGCCTCCAGCGGCTGCGCCGCGTGGGTGTCATACAGAATGGGCCTCTCGCCCACGCGAGATGCACTGCGCGTGGCGGCCTGGAAACCGTCTGTAAGTGTATATTCGGATCTGTATATACTCTGACTCGCGCACGAGCGAGGAATCGAGCACGAGTACGGACGCTGTCGTGTGCATGCGCGGCCGCCTCGGCCTGGGCATGCGCACTCGACGCCCGTCTGCACACTCGACGCCCGCAGTGTACGCCTCTCCTTTCTCGTTCCGGCACGGGCGCTCACGGCTGCTGACACTACGCGCTCACAGTATCTCCGAGAAGTGAGCTCAGCGTCCCCAGCCTCGTCGTCGCCGCGCCGCCCGCGTCTTCGACAATGGCTCTGAACACTGGGCCCCCGCCCCGCAGACCCGCGAACGCGCCCCGTCCGCGCGCGGAGCGCTCTCTCAGGACGTCCCCCACACCCTCACAACACGGCGGCTAGAGCAGGCGCGTCCGTCGCTCGCACGCAGGCTCGAGAACTCGGCGTACGAGGCGGCTGCGCGCCCGCCGTCGTGACATGGAGACTCGACGAGCCACGACGCGAGATGCACGGACGTCCGAGCACGCGCACGCGGTGTGTGAAGGCCAGTGACGTCGTCGTGCTCGGGTGCACCAGTGTGCGCGTGGTGCACTTACGGCACGGCACGTCTCCGCACCTCGGCTCCCGCAACCTTCGCCGCCCTTCAGGCAGTTGCAGTGCCATTCCGGGGCTGCACACCTACGCCCGCAGCTCGCAGCCGCGCAGATAGCGACGAGCCTTCCCGCCGCCGCACGAGCCCATGCCCCGTGATGAGGGTAAGACAACGGACCGCGCGGCGGCGATGCGACTCGACGTTGTCCGCGACAGCTGTAAGCGCGGGCGCCAGCCCCGGGAACGTTCGTGCCGCACCCACAACCACCCACCTGGCGCCCCGTCTTGTGCAATTCGGCCCCGACGAGGACGTGCGAAGACGGTGTTCCTGGGCGGCTGGAGGCTCGCGGCGTTCTCCGGAACGCGCGCAGCCAGAAGAAGGGCGGACGCGAACGCGTCCCTGAGAGGTGCAGCGGGGCGGGGCGCGCGTTGGGGCTCCCCACGTGTCTCTGGCGGGAGGGCTCTCACCTGGGGCGGGAACGTGCTCGACGGCATCGGCTGCGTCCCAGCCCAGCCCTCCACGTCTCCCGCACGTTGTCCCCTCCGCTGCGTTATCTGGTACATGGACAGCTACGTAACTACTGCCCCCGCCCTTCCCGCCTCACAAAGTACGCCGCGCCTGTGGCCGCGCGGGGAGTGCTGCAAACGATGTAGATCAGGCGACGATGTTTGCGGCGAGGAAATCGAAGGTACGTACCGTTTTGCGCGTGACGCACCGCATGCGGACTCCTTCCTGCAGCTTGTGTCTACTGGGATTGCGTACGGTGAGAACGAGGCTGCGCTCGGGCGAGGACTCACAGCAAGTATCCGGGCGCGTTGGCGCGTCGAGGGCTGGTTCCGTGGCGGGCTCGATCGACGCAAACCTACTGGAACACATTAGTAGAGTGTCATGCGCGAAGAGGACTCACCACACGTAGTATTCCGCCTCGTTCGCGCGTCGAGGATACTGGGGCTCGGCGGGCTAGACAGAATCAAGTTAGCAGCATCTGCAGCACGAACGGAGGGTGCAAGGTACGTATGCATTCACGATGTGCGCCCGCCGGAGTGCTTGAAATCTGATACTCTGTGAGCAAGATGGGGCATCGATGCTATGCGCACTCACCAGGCATGCAGGCGAGTCGTCGAGGATGCGTCGCTCCAGCGCATCTGGATGTGTGCACAGAACTGAATGCGATTGTGAACGCAGGCAGAAGTAGGACTCGGAACGGCGGACGTACCACGAGTGTGACGAAACGAGCCCTGCGTGCGTGGGTCGGAGCTGCGAGACGACGTGCACTGCGTCCACGGCCTACGTCTATGAGAAATGTGAGTGGAAAGGATGGGGAACGGTGGGCGACGTACCTGGCGGCAGCGATGTGAAGCTGGAAGGAGGTGAGTGGCACGCACGAATCCTCGACGTACAATACTTATTGGTCCATACCCTCCGATGTCCATCGCTAGCGAGCAACAGAGCGGACGTGCGCCGGCGATGCCCGCGCGCACCTTCCGGCATACGAGCACGGAAACGAATACACGGCCGCTACGCGGGCGTCCGATGTGGGCACGCACACTCCGGGACCCAATCAACGAACGTCCGGGACACACGCCCGTCGCTCGGGATTGAGTCTAAGTGATGGGGAACTCGGAGGGCCTCGTCCTGCACCAACCAACGCACGATGCGCGTCGACGGAGGTCTAGACGAGGGTCGGCCATACGTACGCTCTGGGCGGCTTGACATGCGGAACGCATG